AATCTGCCACACGTGGAAGAAAATATCAAACACGTGTGATATTTTCCACACGCAAGAAATCGATGCGTGTGCGGCGGGCTTAACAGGGGCGAAAACATAACCTTGCATGGCGGAGATAAAAAGTGGGGAGCAGGAGTAGTTTAGGATAAGAGGGGGCGATGGAGTTGCCCCACAAGTCTTCCCCTATTGTGCTTCCCTCCAATCCAAGCCTATTCACTCACCTCCCTCCCCTCCCAAGTTTCACAGCCCTCTTGTCATTCAGCGTGTACAATGTACATGTATACATTTGTGATGAACTTACTACTACGGCGCACACAATGAGATGCGAGAATATGACGCGTATGTGTACATGCAATATCACCAGGATTCATGGGGCTATCAATATTGATAGACTCCTGATATCTTGCTGATATCATCACGCTAAGGGGGTCACAGGATGAAGTTCACAAGTCAATGTGCTGACAATGCGTTTTAAACTGAAAATTACATTGCCCCTTAGAGTAATCATTACTCCAAGATCGCCCCGAATAAACGAGATGATAAATGCTTTACGAACGCACACATGATGAGTAAGTGCAATGAGACGCTTCGCCACGGGGGGTGGTTACCCTTCCACGCCCACTATACCACTCATTGGTGCGAGTTTACACAGCGCTGGCTAACCTTTTCGCGGCTCTGCACGTGTATAGCACGTGTTTTTACGCGCGATACACTCAATTAGCCACAGGCACTTGAAGCGTTTCAATAAAATATAATGCTAACTAAATACGGAATCTATTTACTACCAAATTCTTAATGTTTCTATACTCTCTTTCACCTAATATATATTGCCGAGTCGCCGACAGTTTCCTGTCAATTCCGTCCAAAAGCGTGCAACAGTGGAGCCGCGAGAGCAATGGCGCCGGCAGCGTATATTGTTGCACGTAGGATTTGACAGGAGACTGTCAGCAATAATAGGTGAAAGAGAGTATAGAAACATTAATAATTTGGTAGTAAATAGATTTCCTATTTAGTTAGCATTATATTTTATTGAAACGCTTCAAGTGCCTGTGCAATTAGCAGTCAGCTCAAAAGCCGATTCATCGCTACATCAAACAGCCTCCCTTCACGCTGTCGTCACGTCGTCATTTCATGTTGTTAAAGCTCACCATGAATGTCAAACAAAACGTGAAAGTAAATGCTTGATTTCTTGAAATTCTTCCTTCCCGCGTTTTTTTATCAGCCCATGTTACCCAGACCTTGTTACCCAGCCAGCTAGCCCAACACAATTACGAGTAAACCCATGAAGTTTGGCAATCACCGTCTGAGAATGTATTTTTGTCCATGACCCAAGTGACCGTTGTAGGGCTAGGCTAATTGGCCCAGCTACTGTTTGAGTACAAAGATAAGAACGACTGTTCTAATCATAAAACTAGAGTCTGTTGGAGAAACCCCCATGTGTATCTCACGATAACCAATGTCAAAAATGTCAATGTCAATCACTATGTCAGAGGAGCTTAGTTCTTATTTGTTAGTACCTTCGTATGAACAAGTACGGATAATGTGACATCAGAATAAAATGGTCTCAGAATAAATGGAAGCTAGAACTAGTGGCGAATAGTGACATAGTAGTTCAGGACACAGCCCGTACTGTGCGCGGTTTTAACCTCTCTTACCAGGCTTACTCAGTTACTGTTTTTACAAACGCATTTTATTAGCAAGACTGGCTTGCCGGTCTCCCATTTTCAAAAGCATCCGCCCCCAACCGTCTACACTTTACAGCAGCTTTTAATGTTTATGAAACCCTAGGAAACAGATGCCGCGACACGCACTCTAACGGTTCAGTTATTGGTCGCGTTCACACGAAATGGAATAGTTTCAACAGCCGTCCTGCTTGGGAGTTATTTCCGAACCCCAGTTACGATTGGTACACACGCGACTCCCAGTAGGATGGTCGAGAGAGACTACGGGGGCAATTAAAATTCGTACTGAATTCGTGCTGTAGCTGCCCGACCGCGTCTCTCTCTCTCTCTCTCTCTCTTTCTCTCTCTCTCTCTCTCTCTCTCTCTCTCTCTCTCTCTCTCTCTCTCTCTCTCTCTCTCTCTCTCTCTCTCTCTCTCTCTCTCTCTCTCTCTCTCTCTCTCTCTCTCTCCCTCTCTCTCTCTCTCTCCCTAACTCAACTCTTTGCCTTATTATATAATTAATGTAGTTTAATTATAAAGTATAATTTTAGTATTTTATATTTTAGTATAATTCTGGACAGTATTTAATACTGATGAGGCCTTGTTTGAGTTTTTGAGCCTTACCAGAAGTAGCTATAGTTCCAGCAGCAAATAATAACTAAATAACTATACTATGAAGAGGTTCGACGAACTTCCTGGACATGTTGTCAGACAATTCTGTGATGGATGGCCTTGTTTACAAGAAATAAGGAGAGCTGGCCACAGTTTCATTCCCCATCTGGCATCAACACCAGGTTGTACAATACACAAAAGGAAAATTGCTTGCTTTAACCGAGATTGCAACAACGAACCGTAATTGCAAACCGAACTTAGTTTTAATGATATTATAACTATTCATTGCCAAGAACCATTAGTTATTAATTGTTAATTAATCACTTTGCTAGTGGGTTCCTGGTATAATACAGTGTGCGTATATATATACACACACTATCAGGGCCACTGTGAGGAGAGAATAACAAAAGCCGCAGCACGTCTGGGCTCATCTGAGGTCTGTTGCTACGGTTATAAACGTAACATTTAAGTCGTGCGTAGTGATACCTTTGTTAGGCGCAGATATGCAGATACGCAGTTGCGTACACATCATTTCAGCAACCTTCTGCATTCTGCATACCTCCCAAATCCCATTGGTTGATACAAATCGCGTGCCTGAAACTCCTGTTTTATGGTGCATTGTGACCCTAACCCTAACCCTATTAAAAAAAAAAATATTAATTGTTCTAAAAATTATTTGTTATTATTAAAGGGATCGTTTACTCTAGGTTCTAGGATTATTTTCAGTTAATTTAGGTTAAAATTACGCTACATAAAAAGTTTCATGGTTCAATCACTATTAGAAATATTATTAAAAAATGTTTTAAAACTAACGACTACAGTTTGATTACAACGACGGTGGCACCACTCAAAGCGCACGATCTGATAAGTTGCACAAAACCACTTTTCAGCAAAGGGCTACAGACCGAGGGTGTTTCTTATTTATTCATTTTAAAGCAAAAGGATTGTAATATCTTATAAACGACATAGTTTCAGTTATAATATGGATAAATTCGCCCTAAAATGAATATCGTTCGGTTAAATAGCATTTAGGTATAAATATAATTACACTTTTGTGATTAGCCCCCGGTCTGTAACGTGCAAAATAAATGGTCAAATACGCAACTTTTTCGGGGTGGCAGCACGGTTGCGGGTATCATGGCGCCGTTCAAATTTCGTAGCATTGATGTGTAATTAATTATAACAATTAAATTAGGTATCTGGTAACAAATACGTGTGGGTATAGACGATTTGTTATACAGTAAGCACAGTTGTATGCAGTAAAATCCTAGAGTCTACTATCCCTTTAAATTGTTGTAAATAAATCATGTAAATATTTGCGTTAATTGGAAATAAATTGTTAAATGAATAAAGATAGAAAAATACAGAAAACAGGTAAATAATAAAAAATCAGATGGAATTCGATCCAACGACCTTTGAGCCGTGATGCCTGTGCTGTACGCGTTCGGCTATCCAGGCTTATTGGGTTTCTAGATTATGGATGTGCCATGAATATGACAACACTGACGTCATTGAGGCAGTTCAGGAATCCATGTTTAACCCTCCTCTTGAGGGTCAAAAGGTTATCAGACACTTACTCTTCGCACGTCAGTGGAAAGCACATTTCATGGTCCTTTCATTAAAGTGATAAAAATGGTAGGTCAGCACTGAAACAAAAAAGTTTTCCACTCTGTCCATTAGGCCATTTCCTCAGAAAATGTCTGGTATCTGACCTTTCCCCCACTGCCCTTTGACCTGTGACCTCCAATTTCGCACTGGTGATGGGTTTCCTGCCCATCACACTATATACTGATTATTAAGAGCATAGGTCAAGCCGTTAAGATTTGTGCTGCAATTCCGTATTTCCTCCTATACCTTAAGTTAAGGGGGAAATATTCCCGCTCCGTTTACACATCTTGACCTTTGTCCCTTGACCCCCCCAAATTTGTCATCCTGAGTCCTTTTCACGACCCCCACCCCCACGTCCCGAATATCGTGACCGTACGTCGAGCGGTTAAGATTTGTGCCCAACTGTTGACGCACGGACGGACGCACGCACGCACACACGCACGCACGATCATGCGATTCTACAAGCTGCATCTGACTACGTCAGATGAGCTAAAAACAATTTTTTCATTCACTCCTGACAAGCTGACACAAGTCTATACTATTTTTATCCTAACACCTTCGAGTAGTTCAGTTACACTTACAGTATTGATTATCACTCAAGTCAATTCTCTATTTAGTAACAAAAATCCATGCCGTCGTGCAATATATCTCACACTCAACAATAATGTTCAGCAGCCGTAGCATCGGAAATGTTAACACCATGGAACCACCACAACACCGACAAACAGAGGCAGCAGCAGCAGCAGCAGCAGCAGCAGCAGCAGCAGCAGCAGCAGCAGCAGCAGTAGTAGCAGCAGCAGCAGCAGCAGCAGCAGCAGCAGCAGCAGCAGCAGCAGCAGCAGCAGCAGCAGCAGCAGTAGCACTGGTCAGACTAAGAATAAAAACAGGAAAAGAAAAATAAGAAGGAAGAAGAGAAGAAGACAAAGACGAAGAAGAAGAAGAAGAAGAAGAAGAAGAAGAAGAAGAAGAAGAAGAAGAAGAAGAAGAAGAAGAAGAAGAAGAAGAAGAAGAAGAAGAGGTAGAAGAGGAGGAGGAATGAGAAGAAATGGAGAAACAACGATGACAGCAACAACAACAACAACAACAACAACAACAACAAGCAGCCAACTTCTTAATTACCTCCATAGTAGTCAGGTGTGTTTCCTAACGAGTTGGCAGCCTGCTGTGGGCCGTTCACCAAGTCCCGGTTCTCCGGTCGCCTGTCCTCCACTCTGGCACCTTCATCCGGGTTCACCGTGTACCTTCCAGACCTACTCATAGTGATTCCTTGCTCGCCGTCACTAAAACTAGCTCCGCTGGTCTACACTGAAACCTGCAAAAGATTACATGCAAAATCAAACAATCAGGCCCTTCATATATTTTTTAACAATTGCATACAATTTTTACCTGCCAAACATAATACATTCTCACGGCTGAGTACTTGTAAAAGGCTCGTTATTATGCTTGATGCATGAGACATAGCAAATGTACTAGGCTGAATCATTACCACTATTAGTTTTGCGTCTGTGCATGACATGCTAGGCAATCGAGCTCTGCTAATTAAGTCTACAGTCGCCGTAACATGTATTTAGCAAATGATTTCTCACAAATATTGAGTAAAAATGCATACTAGAAAAGCATTGTCAGTGTTTCTACTTCATTCAGATGGTCGTACAATTATACGTGCATACGTACAATACATGATCAATATTTCGACATTCTTTTTCGAGAAATCACATCATCCATCACATAGATAGATCTGCTATTTCTTGCCAAAATTAACTTAAATTGCCCGTCTGTTTGTGCAGGTCACCACACGAAATACGTACATCATGGACGATGCAGTAGGAGACAGTCTGTGACGAGATTTCTTTACAGCAAAGGCTGGAGGGCACAAACACGAATGCGTTAGCCTTTACAAGCAGCAGCTACATGTCCGCATGCATACAGATCGTGTGGAAAATTGCCTGCAAATTCTACAGCTGCCGGGATGAGCTTCTCCGATGACCAAGAGAATCGGAAACCCGTGCTCTACAGAGACTATGGCCTACATGTACTGTAGCATCATCAGCAGCAGTTGCCGTAACTATTACGCAGGCAGTTACACTCGTGAGTAAACTTTCGTGAACATTTATCATAAAACGATGTGGAATGATACAGATGTGAAAGACCAAGTAGACATCTGAGTCTCTGACCTATCCATGTAACTCTTTGCTCAATAAACATAATAACATAAAATTTCTGTACTAGCTGTGCAATGACTTAGAAAATTGGCACTTGGGGATTTGGGCACTTGGGATAAAAAATCCAAGTATTTGTATATAGTATTTATAGATAGTCGGAACATGTAAGTATTAAGCTAGGCTTAATAGTAAATACGGCAAGTGAATCGTAAAAACAAGATTCCTATCACTGATTCGAGTTCAAGACCCACTGACTCACTATAGTGGCTTTCTGCCGGTTCACAAAATTGTTTATATTATATTATTATTATTATTAAATCTTTATTGCATGTAATTCAAATACAAGTACATGTACTGAGGACAGCCTTTTTCATGGAGAAAAAATCTGATAAATGCAATAGTGTTGAGTAGTTAATATGATAAAATTTCTGAGTCATACAGTACAAAACAGTGCTATACAACATGAAGAAAAAATATATATACAAGAAAAAAACTTCAGCATATTCTGTTCAAATAGAGTTTCTCTAGCTTATTTCATATACAATGAAACACAAACGATGCATTTTTTAATATTGTGTTACAAAACTGTAGCTTTCATAGAGATTGAGTTAGACAGATGAAGCCTGCTAGAAACCATGAGCTGTATCAGCAGTCTGCGCAATCACACTGTATGGCAGTTTTTCACAAGGCAGCTCGAGCTTGCGGCAGTCACCTCAAAACGCGACAGGAAAAGGGGAAAATTGCCTACTATTGTCGCCACTTACAGAATCGGCCATCACACCTACTGCACGAATCACACGCCGGACAAACCGACAAAACACCCGATTGTGAAATAGCATTACGTAAAGGAACTGCACTTCACCAACTGCAGTTCGCATTTCACTGAAAATAGTTTTCACCTACGTGTCTAGAGTTTATCGATAGCATGAGCCCGTTCAGCTTCATTTAAAAAGAACTGTAGATTGATCGGACAGCATTTTAACAGTTTAACGACGTATCAATTCCACATTTCTAATGAAACCACTCTGCCACATCACACACATCACGTACTATCTGCCTGGAAATACTGGGAAAGTTGATCATTATCTGCAAACTAAGGTTATTACGGATGTTTATGACATCTAATTCAAAACTCGTAAACTACTCACCACCTGGTAAACGCACAAGTACTTACTCCCCATAGACATCTTTCGACCCCCCTCAGATCATCGACTTTTCATGTCAGAGAATTGCTGTAACGCATAGCCCATGGGCTTGCGGCCATAGGCATCCTATATGCCTGTGGCACCACGCCCAGCACTGTACGGTAGAGCCAGGCATAAACGTAGACTATCTTCGATTGAGGAATCAGGGATAAATGTGCACGACCAGCACGTACACGATTACTCAAATCGATGTGGATAGTCAGTCAGTTATCAGATAGTAGGCGGCTGGTTGTTAACCGATCTGGCGAGCTGTAGACCACAACCAACTAACGCCAGTACGTCCAAACAAGAATCACTTTACAGATATATATAACCAAGAGCCTTTGTTAGATTTTATAGACAACTACCCCATAAAACCATGTGGACACTATGTGTACACTGGTCAGATAACTGGCATCTATTGCCAACGACATGGATGCAATGACAACCACACAATATTAAAGATCGCGTTCATACGAGAACACCAGCAACACAGCATTGACGATGAATAACACGTACGACCTGACACAACGACATGGCACTGATATGATGTCTTGGCACTGACAAAATGACATGGCATAGAGATCTCTATTATCCACTCCTGATATGATCATGCCACAGCATTTACCTAATCACGGTTTTTTTTCCGGCAATTTTGCTGCCTACAAGGGTCAGTTTGCTGCCTACGAGGGTCAGTTTGCTGCCTACGAGGGTCAGTTTGCTGCCTACAAGGGTCAGTTTGCTGCCTCAGTGCTCTCAACATTGGCAGCAAATATTCTGCCTGAATGAGTATACTTGCTGCAGGCACCTGCTTTTTTTTCTCTGTTAGCAAGTATACTTGCTGCATGGCAAAAAGTTTATTTCTTACCCGTCATGATCACACAGTAAGTGATGACACGATAGCAAGTTTTACTAAATTATGAATATAATTATATTAGGTATTTTGCAAGCATGCTATTTCACTCGGATCGGTACTATAACTTATAAGCATTACTCCCCATCACGTCTGCTGGACGATTCCTCAACGAGACACGTAATAATACCTGTAACCAAACATAGGAACAAACATATAGAACTACCCGTTAAATACAATCAATTCATTCAGTCTTGGCATTCAGCAGTGTTGTTGCTAAACACACAAAGCTACCACTACCGTCTATGGATGAGTGCTTCAGTATTCCGTTAAGCTACTCTTCTCGAACATTCAATGCTGACCGAATCTGAAGCAATCAGCTGTTTATTTCAAAATGAAAGCTGTCGCAATGTTAGCAATTTGCTCGGCAGGGGCGTGTACAGGATTTGTACCAGGGGGGGGGGGTATCTGCCCCTCTCCCTCTTTCGCGCACGCCCTTTGACGGCTGTGACTCCAATTTCGGCACATGGTGATAGGTTCCAGCCATGCACACTTGGCGGATTACGCACGTTGGGCTAATTCCTGATTATTAACAAGAGTCAAGCCGTAAGATTGTGCGCAATCCGTATTTCCTCTATACCTTAAGTTAAGGGGAATATTCCGCGTCCGTTACACATCTTGACTTGTCCCTTGACCCCCAAATTTGTCATCCTGAGTCCTTTTCACGACCCCACACCCCCGTCCGAATATCTGACGTACGTCGAGCGGTTAAGATTTGTGCCCAACTGTTGACGCACGGCACGGACGCACGCACGCACCGCACCGGCACGCATCATGCGATTCTACAAGCTGCACTGACTCAGTCAGATGAGCAAAAACAATTTTTTCATTCACTCCTGCCAAGTGACACAAGTCTATACTATTTTTATCCTAACACTTCGAGTAGTTCAGTTACACTTACAGTATTGATTATCATTCAAGTCAATTTCTATTTAGTACAAAAATCCATGCTACGTGCAATATATCTCACCAACAATAATGTTCAGCAGCCGTAGCATCGGAAATGTTAACACCATGGAACGCACCCCAACACCGACAAACGACAGAGAGCAGAGCAGGCAGGCACAGCAGCACAGCAGCAGGGCAGCAGCGCAGCGCAGCAGCGCAGCCAGCGCTAATGGTAGACTAAGAATAAAAACAGGAAAAGAAAATAAGAAGGAAGAAGAAGAAGACAAAGAGAAGAAGAAGAAGAAGAAGAAGAAGAAGAAGAAGAAGACAGAGAAGAAGAAGAAGAAGAAGAAGAAGACGAAGAAGAAGAAGAAGAAAGAAGAGAAGAAGAAGAAGAGAAGAAAAGAAGAGGAGAAAAGGAGATGAGAAGAAATGGAGAAAGCAAGATGACAGCAACAACAACAACAACAACAACAAACAACAACAAGCACCAAACTTCTTAATTACCTCCATAGTAGTCAGGTGTGTTTCCTAACGAGTTGCAGCTCTGCTGTGGCCGTTCACCAAGTCCCGGTTCTGCCGGTCGCCTGTCTCCACTCTGGCACCTTCATCCGGGTTCACCGTGTACGTTCCAGACGTACTCATAGTGATTCCTTGCTCGCCGTCACTAAAACTAGCTCCGCTGGTCTACACTGAAACTGCAAAAGATTACATGGCAAAATCAAACAATCAGGCCCTTCATATATTTTTTAACAATTGCTACAATTTTTCACTGCCAACATAATCATTCTCACGTATTATGCTTGATGCATGAGACATAGCAAATGTACTAGGCTGAATCATTACCACTATTAGTTTTGGCGTCTGTGCATGACATGCTAGGCAATCGAGCTCTGCTAATTAGTCTACAGTCGGCGTAACATGTATTTAGGCAAATATTTCTCACATATTAGAGTAAAATTGCATAACTAAAAAGCATTGGTCAGTGTTTCTACTTCATTCAGATGGTCGTACAATTATACGGTGCATACGTACAATACATGATTCAATTTTCGACATTCTTTTTCGAGAAATCACATCTCCATCACATAGATAGATCTGCTATTTCTTGCCAAATTAACTTAAATTGCCCGTCTGTTTGTGCAGGTCACCACACGAAATACGT